GTGTGTAAACATTTGAACATTTTCAGCTTCTTCCCTGTAATCTCTCAACCAATTTTGGTACAAAACATCTATGGGTGAAAGGGAACAAAATTTAAGAATTTCATGGTCTCTGCCCTCTGAAGCCTCAGGGGCGGGGCCAAAACCACTAAAAGACGCGATCTTTAAAATCCTCTTTACTTCAGGACATCAAGCAGTCAAACTGTTGGCATGATTGTAATCAGCATTGATTGATTGATTGATTGTATATTGTTTAACGTCCCTCTCGAGAATTTTTCACTCATGGAGACGTCACCGTATGCCGGTGAAGGGCTTCAAATTTTGACCTTACTCGGCACTCAGGGCCATTTGAGGGATCTTTATCGTGCCAACGCCTGCCGCTGACACGGGGCCTCGGTTTTTAAGGTCTCATCCGAGTAATCAGCATTGAGTCCTCTCTCAAAAGTTCCCTGGAATCATTGGAGCCATTGACAGATCTCATATGTAAATTGAACCACCTTCAGAAACCCCCCAATCATATTACAACAGGAAAAGATTTTAAACAGTTATACTTCAAGGCATATGCAAAGATGATATGCAATTTATTCATACCAATTTTGGTTGGCCTGGCAGAGTCCATAATGCTAAAGTTTTGTCGTGTGGGATTCAGGTTACCAAGAATTTGATTCTAGTCGGTTTCATCTCCTTGGAGACGCAGCTTACCCTTTAACCTTTGAAGAGAATTACAATTACAAATAGACTGTCTAATTGAACATTGTTTATGCAAAGTTAACCTGATTACTGAAACTCAATAACGTATTGAACACAATAAATACACATGATTATTATTTTTGTTCTGAAAAAAAAAACCCTAAACATAGATAACCAAGAAATACAAATGTAAAATATAAAGCACTAGCACCACCTGTTCAAAGGTTATGACCAAGGTTAACATTTTTAAAGGTAAATCCATAAATCAGTATTTTTCGTGTATGTCAACATCACAGCTTAAATTTATCCTCCATGTTTACTGACCTTGACAGATTTTATTTTCGGACAGCCAATGAGATTAAGGATCTAAAGGGAGCGGATTTCTTTGGAATTACCTTATTTTAAGCCTAAATATCGCTGTTTACGAAAAAAATGATACATGGAATGATTTTATTTATCGATGTTTAGTGTTACTATTCATCACAATTATTTATAAACATCGACATTTGATTTATTGAGTTATTCTAAATTTCAAGCGCAAGTCTCAGTACGTCACGCCTGAACTGTCATCGCTGCTAAGAAAGCGAAAAGAAAATACACAGATTTATTTTACATGGTTTTCGCGTTTAACGAGCTATGATGTCGACAGTGAATAAAAATTTCGTCTTATTAGAAGTAAGTTGAATGTAAAAACAATTTATTCTGCCTGCAGTCACCCGTATTTTAAGGTCTTCAATTCCTAATAGGAAGAAATTCAATGAAATTGGAAACATAAAAGATATGTAGGCATTCAATACTCAGTTTATTTACACATAGTTCCCATTTATTACTATAAGTATGTTTAGTGGGATGTGTCCTAATTCGTGACCTTGAATTTTGGTAAGAGTTATCTCCCCTTTTTATATTAATAAAAAAAAATAAAAAAAAATTTAGCTGGTAAAAAAATTGTTTTCAATTATCATTATATTTTTAATATCTCAATGCATCTTTCCACCACAGGATTTATTGATATTCAAATTATTTGAATTTTTATTTTGAAAAAACGCTTTTCCCCATAGACTTTAATGCAATCTTTGTTAATTAACCACTCCTTAATTAATGAACTTTTTGAAAATTTCTCGTGGGCAATCTTTTTCCACTATAAAATGCTTTAATATAATATCAGAGTATTGTGTACTTGACGGACATTTAAGGGTAGAGAATTTGGTCCCATTAGGGATTGAAATCCTTAAAAAATATTTTTGCACCATTACGGAGATGCTGTGGAATTGTAGCCCTCTCCAGAAAATGTCAGATATAAAAATCGGAGAGGGCTACATTATTGCAGCTAGGGAAGTATAAAAGCGCTGGCCCATACCATGGAAAAGTTATGGCCAAGGTCAAAGTCTGTAAAAAGTAGATCAAACTCCAAGGTCAAACGGTCACGGATCTTGATATCCAATGAAAGGTTTTGTTACAAGGATAACATATGTGAAATATAAAAGGTCTAGCCTCTATTGTTCGAAAGTTTTGGCCAAGGTTAAATTTTGTAAAATTAAAAAAATAAATAAAAATAGGTCATACTCCAAAGTCAAGGAGTGAAGGTTCTTGATATCAAATGAAAGGTCTTCTCACAAGGATTTAAGGTACTCCGATCTCCAGGTTCTGAAAATCAAGCATTGACTAATTGAAAATGCTCACAGAAATGTCTCTTGATTTTTCAAAGTATCGTGTTTTACCCATAATAATTCTTCAAACTTCATCTTTTAAGTTAATGATATAATAAAGAGAAAATTAGAAAATCTCACATATATTTTCAGGAATTGCGAATAAAAACATTGGTATGTATTTTCCAATTGAAATTTAGTCAATTAACAAATTTAAAAGATAAAAATCATAGGTATCCTGGCTTTTAAAGAAATTCCACAATTTTTATACATATAATGTACTTCAATTTCTTTTATTTACTTTGATCATTTTACAATGCAAAGTGTATAATGATTCTCCTGTCATTGCAAAGCTCCAAAAATAATTTCTAACTTCATATCATGTTGATTAACATTGGTATCTATGGTTAGATTGAAATGAACATCAATTTCTTAATATATGTAATTTTAAAATGCTTTTACGGGGTAAAAATTTCGACTTGTAATTAGACCTGTCTGAGAACTTCAAAGAACCTTGAAGCACATTGAGAGGTATATAATGAAAATTGTTGAATGAAAAGATTTAATTTTCAATTTTCATTTTGAGACTTTTTGAATTAAATTATAAATTAAAGAGTTGTCCTTCCTGGCTGAGGATCGGAGTCCCTTAATATGTGAAGTATGAAAGCCCTCGTCGTAACTCTTCAACAATTATGGTCAAGGTTGTATTTTTTAAGTAGATCAAATTCCAAGGTCAAAGGGTCAAGATTTTTGGTATCCAATAAATCGACTTCTCAGAAGGATTACATATATGAAGTATGAAAGCCCTAGCATGTACAATTTAAAAGTAATAACCAAGGTTAAATTTTCTCATAAATAAGTGCAAAAATATCCAATGTCAAAGTCAAAATGTCAAGGTTGTTGGTTCCAATGAAAGGTCTTGCCTCAAAGAATAAATATGTCAAGTATAAATGTCTTGGTATCTACTGTTTAAAAGATATGGCCAAGGTAAAAGTTCAAAATTTTTGTGTATAAGTGGATTAAACTCTAAGGTCAAGTTCAAATTTAGTGGTACCCCCAAAAAAGGTATTGTCACAAGGAACACTGCTACTAGGCATTTAGGAAATACCTATCGATGATACTGTTTCTTGAACCTAATAAAGATAAGAACATTAATCACAATTTTCTGTTTAATTGTTGCAAAAGCATATCCTTCATTTCTTTTTTACTATCTTGACATGATGTCCAAAAATCCTTTCATGATCTCAATTTTTTTTCTTGGTGTCTTCTCTCTGAATCTTTCACTTTTCTTTCCAGTATTTACCTCTTTTTGGGTTCATGTTGTTGTTGATAACGACCTTTCATTATTGTACGTTTATAAAACAACATGGATTATCTTCACCTGTTGCCCTACTGAGATCGTTGTATTGGTTAAGTCCCGCCATAAGGACACTTTACATTTCCATGACTGATCTTTAAGAACAACTGCCTTGACCTTATACATATTTATACCCCACGCAACTAGTTGCGGGAGGTATAATGTTTTTGACCCGTCCGTCAGTCAGTCAGTCAGTCAGTCCGTCAGTCAGTCCGTCAGTCAGTCCTCTTTTTTTTGTCAGCACAACTCCTCATAAACCGCTGCACAGAATTTCGTAAAACTTTGCAGGTATTTAGGACACAATGTGTAGATGTGCATATTACCAGGAAATTCCGATTCCATTATTTTTTCCGGGAATTTCCGCACTTTTTAACTTAGGCATTTGGCCGTACCTTGAATATAGAGATGAACAGTTTGTCAGCGCAACTCCTCATAAACCGCTGCACAGAATTTCGTCAAACTTTGCAGATATTAAGGACACAATGTGTAGATGTGCATATTACCAGGAAATTCCGTTCCATTATTTTTTCCGTGAATTTCCGCACTTTTTAACTTAGGCATTTGGCCGTACCTTGAATATAGAGATGAACAGTTTGTCAGCGCAACTCCTCATAAACCGCTGCACAGAATTTCGTAAAACTTTGCAGATATTTAGGACACAATGTGTAGATGTGCATATTACCAGGAAATTCCGATTCCATTATTTTTTCCGGGAATTTCCGCACTTTTTATCTTAGGCATTTGGCCATACCTTGAATATAGAGATGAACAGTTTGTCAGCGCAAATCCTCATAAACCGTTGCACAGAATTTCGTCAAACTTTGCAAATATTTAGGACACAATGTGTAGATGTGCATATTACCAGGAAATTCCGATTCCATTATTTTTTCCGGGAATTTCCGCACTTTTTATCTTAGGCATTTGGCCATACCTTTTACATAGAGATGAACAGTTTGTCAGCACAACTCTTCATAAACCGTTGCACAGAATTTCATAAAACTTTGCAGGTATTTAGGACACAATATGTAGATCTGCATATTACCAGGAAATTCCGATTCCATTATTTTTTCCAGGACTTTCCGCACTTTTTAACTTAGGAATTAGACCATACTTTTATGTGGAGATGAACAGTTTGTCAGCGCAAATCCTCATAAACCGCTGCACAGAATTTCGTCAAATTTTGCAGGTATTTAGGACACAATATGTAGATATGCATATTACCAGGAAATTCTGATTCCTTATTTTTTCCAGGACTTTCCGCACTTTTTAACTTAGGCATTTGGCCATACCTTGAATATAGAGATGAACAGTTTGTCAGCACAACTCTTCATAAACCGCTGCACAGAATTTCGTCAAACTTTGCAGATATTTAGGACACAATATGTAGATGTGCATATTACCAGGAAATTCCGATTCCTTTATTTTTGCCGGGACTTTTCGCACTAAAAACCTAGGTTTTTGGCCATACCTTTTACATAGAGATGAACAGTTTGTCAGCGCAACTCCGCATAAACCGCTGCACAGAATTTTGTAAAACTTAGCAGATATTTAGGACACAATATGTAGATGTGCATATTACCAGGAAATTCCGATTCCTTTATTTTTTCCGGGACTTCCCGCACTTTTTAACTTAGGCATTTGGCCATACCTTGAATATAGAGATGAACTGTTTGTCAGCGCAACTCCTCATAAACTGCTGCACAGAATTTCGTTAAACTTTGCAGATATTTAGGACACAATATGTAGATGTGCATATTACCAAGAAATTCTGATTCCTTTATTTTTCCGGGAATTTCCACACTTTCAAACTTAGACTTTTTGGCCATATTTTGAATATAGAGATGAACAGTTTGTCAGCACCACTCCTCTTAAACTATTGTACATAGATTCGTCAACCTATGCAGATATTTAGGACATATTCCATTATTTTATCCCAAAGAGTTTTGCCTATTATTCAAGAAAATTTCTCACTACCCCCCCCTCCCCCCCCCCCCCACACCACTTCAAATTAATGTTTGGATTTGTATAATGCCAAGAAATTTTGATTCCATTATTTATCTAGAAACTTCATTCCACATTTAAATGTCCTCATATGCAAGACATTTTGATGTGAAATTTTTTAGTTGCAATTATTGCCCTTTTTGATCTATACTATGTATTTAAAGTGCACTGTGCCTTTCATTATGTGTTTCACCGTCAAGTTTTGGGGGAGCGTGGGGTATGTGAGCTAGCTCACTTTTTCTTTTTTTTGAATATATGTTTATACTTCTTCTGTAGCAAAGTAGCATGATTTGAAGGTAGTTGCAATTACTTGTACAATCAGACAATGTGTAAACAAAATGTTCAAGGTAAAAAATTAAGTTTGAAATTTTAAATACTTGCAGGTACGACCTGTCCTTTAACTGTCATCATTCTTTTTACTGGTGATTTCAATGGAGATTCAGGAGATTTACGTGGGACAGCAATCTCAATTGCTGACCTTTTAAAGTCTGCTGACACATTTATGGGTCCCGTCTTACATACTCTGGACTTGGATGTGATGGTAATTGAGCTTTTAGACTTGACAATGATGTTCATCGACATCACAGAGGCTCCAACGTCCATGAGTTACACCTTGTCCATATCATACATAGTGCACATAACAAGCCATGGTGCTAGATGCAACACCCAATATAACTTTTTCCCCTCCACTTATGTTTACGTACTCTTTAATTCTCGATACACCGCAGACTTTGACGCTGACTGGTGGAACATAAGATCCATCCTTTTTAAATTTGAAAAAGGGCCTCTAAAGTTGGCAAATATCTATCAATCAAATACAGGTTTTAACCGAAATAAATTTCCAAAAGCAACAACAGATATATCTCCACAAATGTTACAACATCCTGTAAGTTCTATGAGTCTGAGATTTATAAAATTAACCATTTTTCCCCACCATGGAAATCTCATCAATAAAAATAAATTTTTATGACTTGTACTTTGTTTGCAATGAACACAACTGCTGCATATCTAAAGGTGTATATTTAAATCCATGTTGTGCTTGTATGCAAAAAAGCGGAGTGAATGGTAAGCCTACCTACATTGTATGCAGCTTTACCTGTTTGTGCACGTATGCAGGACACTGCAAAAGTCAGTAAAAACTTGATTCAAAGAAAACAAAACGCCGCAGAAAGAAAATGGAACCTTTCCAGAAAAAAACACCACAGAAAGGAATGAAACCTTGCTTCAAACGGAAGAAGACACCACAGAAGTGAATGAAACTTTAGTTTAATCACAACAAGACGCCACATCTTCACAAGAAAGTGAAAATCACATTTTAGCAGAACACGACCATCCTGAAATCTTACAAAGTCAATCAATCAAGTATCACTGTATCTACGATCTAGACCACTAGTGTACTTCATGGCATCAAATTTATCTCAGATACAACCCAGGACAGTGTGCCATCTTTGTCGACGAGTACACAACATCCGAAATACATTGGACGGAAGGGAAATATAAGTGCAAGAAAGTGGTGGTTGCCATTTGTCCAATGGTGCTCCATTCACTCCTTTAACGAACAACAGATGCTGTCAAGATTTTTTTTTCCATCTAGCCGACATAGCCTAGCAGTGGAACATGTCTTTGTCACTACCAGAAATATCAAAATCATCGCTACAACATCTCAAAAATGCTTTTCAGCTGTGATTTTGAAAACAAAAAAAAAATTTTGATACTGATGTGTGTGATATCAAACAATAAGAAAATGAAACCTAAAAAGAATTCATCTCAAGGGTACAGGAAATGGTTTTTGATGATGAGGCTGCAGAGGACATTCAAGTTCAGATAATAACAAGAAACATATTGACGCAAGCGTCAAAAATCGGCCGCAAACCAATTTATATAATTGTTGAAGTTCCTTTCAGAAGCTGAAATTTGCGTGAGCTGTTTTTTTTTAAATTTCTTATATTTATCTGTTAAAATATCCTCGTCACATGAAACAAGAGGCCCACGGGCCTTATAGGTCACCTGAGCATTATGCAACAACTTTCCAGTTACAGTGTATTGAATTTGATTCATGTTTTAAGCCAGATGCTATATGGCATTCACAATTTTGAAAAGGCACCATTGATCATCATAACAATAAACTTAGCAGTTGCTTAGCTTGGTTACTGAATACCCATACGCAGGGTAGGGGAACAAAAATGCACTCCAACTAATCAGTAATATTCATCAATAATCAGTAGTGCCTCTAACACTCTGACATAAACCCCTGACCCTAGGTTGCACAAATTTTTAAAAGGCACCCTTAAAATTGCCTATCAAAAAGTAAATAAATGTTTTATAAATACAAAGGACCAGATTTCAAACAATTAAATCATTTTCAGTATATAAGTAGAGCCCCCCCCCCTCCCCCACCCCTGACCCTGGGGCCTTGAAATTCACAATTCTGCATGATTAGGGCCCTTGCTCATCATAACTATATAGGTAGTTCATCTGCTTAATACCCAAATAAGAAGAAAATTTTCAAAGATTTAATGTATTTTCACTATATAATCAATATAGCCCCACCCTAACACCAAAACCCCAGACCCTGGGGCAATGAAATTCATAATTTTAGAAGAGGCATTCTTGCTCATCATAACTATGCACTAACTTAGTTTATTTAATACCTAGGAGCAGAGAAGAAGATTTTCAAAGAATTCATGTATTTTCACTTTATAATCAATAAAGCCCCCCCCCCCCACCAGAACCATTGACGCTGGGGCCATAAAATTCACAATTTTTGTAGAGGCGCTCTTGCTCATCATAACTATGCACTCAGTTAGTTTATTTAATACCTAGGAGCAGAGAAGAAGATTTTCAAAGAATTCATGTAATTTCAATATATAATCAATAGAGCCCCCCCCCCCCCCAACACCAGAACCCTTGATGATAGGGCCATTAAATTCACAATTTTGGTTGAGGCACACTTGCTCATCATAACTATGCACTTAGTTAGTTTATATAATACCTAGGAGCAGAGAAGAAGATTTTCAAGGATTTCACATAATTTCACTATATAATCAATAGAGCCCCCCCCCCCCACACACCAGAACCCTTGACCCTGGGGCCATAAAATTCACAACCTTGGTTGAGGAACACTTGCTTATCATAACTATGTACTTAGTTGGTTTATTTAATACCCAGGAGCAGAGAAGAAGATTTTCAAAGAAATAATGCATTTTCACTATATACTTATTTAGCCCCGCCCTAGCACTAGAACCCCTGACCCCAGGGCCATGAATTTCACAATTTTGATAGAGGACTCAATGCTGATTACAATCATGCAAATAGTTTGACTGCTTAATGTCCAGGAGTAAAGAAGAAGATTTTTAAAGATTGCCTTAATTTTAGTGGTTTTGGCCCCACCCCTCAGGCCCCAGGGGGGCAGGGATCATGAAATTCACAATTTTTGTTCCCCTTCACCCATAAATGCTTTGTGCCAAATTTAGTTGAAATTGGTTCAGTGGTTGCAGAGAAGAAGCTGAAAATGTTCAAATGTTAACACACGACACACGACGGACGACGACGGACGAAAACGGATAGCAATAGGTCACCTGAGTTTACTCAGGTGACCTAAAAGTAGTAAGGGGGACAGAGAACAGTCAGTCTACAGTCAGGATGACGTCATGGGTTTTTCCCAGAAAGGTCATATGAGGTCACAGTCAAGGGTGGAGTCTACAGTCAATGACGTCATTGGGTTACCTTAGTGCAAAAAGTGAGTCTACAGTCAATGACGTCATGGGTTAACTTAGTGCAAAGAATGAGTCTACAGTCAAGGAGTCTACAGTCAATGACGTCATGGGGTTTTCCAAACATGATAGAGGTGACTTTACAGTCAAGGTGTACTCTACAGTCACTGATGTTATCAATTGGTGAAATGATATTGCAGATCTTTACGAAATGACATAGCAACACTCAGGGAAAATGACATTGTAACTTTTAGAGAAATGACAATGCAGCTTTAAAACATTGTGGGGAATGACATAGTAACTTGTAGATCTTTACGAAATGACATAGCAACACTCAGGGAAAATGACATTGTAACTTTTAGAGAAATGACAATGCAACTTTAAAACATTTTGGGGAATGACATAGCAATTTGTAAGGAAATTACGATGCAACTTCTAAAGAAATTTGTACCCAGACAATTTTATGAAAGTCCAAGTTTTCACAAGCTTTTCATAGTCAAATTTCAGATGTAAAGGGAAAAAATCACCAAACACTTTATCATCTATAGGTATGTTTATTTTCACACAATATAAAAGTTTTTTTTTAAATCTATATAACAAAAGTGATGAAAAAATCTTTTTTGAAAGTATAAACTACGTAACATTCTTATAAAATCTGTCCTTGTGAAATTCATCATTACAGTTCTTTGTCTTAAAGAAGTTCATTTTTTACAAATTCATCACCACAACTTCTTTATGAACAATTATAAAGAAGAAAACTTCACATGTTTTCTGGCAGGTCCAGCTGAGCATTCAAATTTGTCCTCTAAATGGTTAATTATGATGGAGCTTTGCTGCATATCCTCAGCCATTCTCTTATGTAAATTCCTCAATATATTAAATTGTTCGTTCACATTTTCTTTCAATGGCTGGCGCATCTTTTTCTCCAGTGCGTTATATTTTTCAGGATGCTTTCTTCTTTATGAAAAAAAAATGAAATTATACATTTTTAATTAAGTTTAGTCATACATTAATCCAATGAAATATAAATACGAGTCTTTAACAGTGGGTATATAAAAACAGATGTTTCATAGAAAAAATACTCTTTACTGAAACTAGAGTTATCACTCAACACTCAAAGGTTGTAACTAAATAATACAAAGAAAAGACCTCACCTAAAGGAGGTGAGGATAGAATTCTCCACATTTTCAAACGATCCCTCGCCCGTTTCTTCATCAACAACAACAACTGGTGGCCAGTTTTCATCAGCTGGAGGGGAGTACTTGGGTGTTGAGGACGGCGGGACGACGGGGGTTGATGGTTCTAATGTAATGAATGTCTTGCTTTCATTTGATGCACTGAAAAATATTTGAGAAAACAAACATACACTTTTGTTGATCTTAAAACATCATTTGTAGCTTAATCATTTAGGAATAATCGATAATTTATATATATAATATACCTCCTAGCAAGACTAAGTCTAGTTGTGGTAAGAACGATAACTCTAATTGTAAAAGTTCGTACCTTTCAAAAGTGTTTGCATCGACAGGTTTGATTGTGACCGTTCTTTGAGGAGAAGGGGGGGAATCTTCATTTTCAAGATCTTTTCCCATCTGTACCCATAGAGCCTCAAACTCTTCGAAAGAGTTGGCGGAGTTTGTAAGATCTCAAATAAAATAAAACAGAATGACTAAAAATGTAATGAGAGGTAAATGGACACATCTTAGTGATTGAAATGATCATAAATAACCATAGTTCAGTAACGACAATAGTGAAGTACACCAAATTTACAGGAATTGTACATAATTAGAAGCTGGCCCTCTTGCACTCGGGACTTTCGTGAAGAGTTATCTACTTTTGATAAAATTGAGAAAAATCTTATTTTCTGAAAATTTACATCGTAAAAGATTAATTTTAATTAATATCCTGATAGAGAGGAAGTATATGTAACATTCTACCAGGAGATTTATTTGAAAAAATATAATTTCATCTAAAGATATCAGAATTAAATGCACTCTTCCCATAAATTTCAATGTTAAATCAAAAGGTGAGATGTTTCGAGTATAAATCAAAATTCTGAAAATTTCTATGGTGGATAATTTTCATTTGATAAGCCCTTCAAATTGATATCAGGTTCACCAAAAAAAAATCCTACTAACAATATTGGTCATTATACATCGGATATCTGAAGTTGGTCCACAACGATCTTTTTAAAAGTTAAAATTGAGAATTGTTATCAATTAACAACATTAGATTAAGATCTGATCTACTTACAGAAAGTTGAAAATTTCGTCTGCCATATTTTTCTCTCACTAGTACTGCTATCTTTCTTCTTTTTTTTGGTGAAAGGTACCGTTAAAGATTACTCCTCCCATATTTATACCCATAGGGAGGAAGTAAGTAGACGGAAAAGCTATACAAGAGAAATGGTATATAGTCTTTTAAGGTGTTTGTCATGGTTACATTGCTATTTTTTTTTAAGTTTGGATATGAGGAACAGTAATTAATTTGATGCATTAATTAGCTCATCATCTGTCGTACTTAATCTCTTCAAATGAAAGCGGGCAATTCTAAATCATTTTAAAAATTCCGCTTTTTCACGATACACCTGCGCACAAAGATAGTGTAGCGTGTCCTGACATGACCTAGTATTTCAATAAGTGCAAACGTCATGGCTTTTATCTGTGTGTGTCACGACCCTTTTAATATATCCATTTGAAGTTTTTAAAACGTCAATTGAATAATTAGCTGTTAATCATACATAGTTAGATGATAATTTACCTTTCATCATAATCTCTTTTAATGGAAGCGCGCAATTCTAAATATTTTTTTTAAAATTCCGCTTTATCACGATACACGTGCGCAAAGGTAGTGTAGCGTGTCCTGACATGACCTAGTATCAGTACAAGCATTGTTACTTTTATTTCCGTATGTAGATACACAAGACTATATATATATATTAAAAAAAAAAAAGAGAGAGAGAGAGAGAAATGAGATATTGAGTACGTTTTACTTTAGATTCAACTGACACAATATTGATGTGTTATCTTATCTTCTATATTCTTCTATATTTTTAAATTTAAAGAAAGAGAGGGAGAGAGAGAGAGAGAGAGAGTACTGCTGTTACACGGTCTAAATGTATGAGTGACATGCAATTTATGAAGTTTGAAATCATGTATTCCTCCTGCACTGATCGAGCCATCATATTAAATGTCAGTATAATTATCCCAACACACTAGAACTATTGTTTTTCATTCCCGCATTAGCCTTTACCCTATTAGTTTATCCCTTACAATCAGCTGACTGATGACGGGTGAAAAGTCCGTGCAAAATTCGCGCCACTCCAATGAACGGAAAGATGAAGACGTGTTTTGTGATGTGTTTAATTTTTGGCTGGTATACAATTGTTTGTGCGCAAATTAGATGTCATAGATGTCCAAACTACCTTGGAGTTGTAGATTGTACGCAAACGCGATGGAACTGTTATAGTATTTTTCTTGGTGCGCAACTTAAAATTCGCGAAATTCGAGTCTCCGAGTGCACAGTCAACATAAATCTAGTGGGGAACAGAAAGCTACCCTTTCCAGTCGTGCGAAATAGAGATGGAGATACTTGCCCCGATGTATTCAGTAAGTACATATGTAAATGAGAAGATTTGTGGGTATCAAAGTCAAGTCAAGTTGTCTAGTAAATTTTATGTAAAATCGGTACAATATACATATAACCTATATTGACCGCTTAGTTTATCATTTATACAAAAATTTTGTTGTTTGTCCTAATACGGAATGTTCTTGTGGTATTTGTGTTGGTATATAGTGACCGGTTCATTGAGATTACCGTGAGAAAAAAAAATGTGATCACGTGATATTTTCATAAACCAATCACATCACTGTGTCTTTTACTATGGAATGTCGGTTCATTATTATGAATCCTGATGAGTTCCGAAAGACAAATCAACTTGGCAGAAAATATCTGAAACGTTCAGTCGATTGGTTGATTTCAGCCTTTTTTTGCATAAAAACTCCCTTTAATTCTGCATCCGGAATAGGGGGATTTCAGTTCTTAGCAAAATTTTCAGCCTTTTTAAGTGATAGGCCTAATACACCTCTGAATCTAAATGAGAAAAGTAGATGCAATGTATGGTATTTGGATCCGCACCTTAGAAGTGCCAAATTAAGATCGGGTTCGTGTCCCAACGAGAGGTATTACGTCACAGTAAGTTGTGTATTAGATTGGACGGAATAGATTTTACCTAGCTCTGTTTAAGATGGTCGTTTTTATACGCTTGACAAAGGCCAAGTGGTTGAAAATTTTAGCGCAATAGAGTGTGTTTTATATTTTAATGACATACTTCCCTTTGGAGGACTATTGATTGAATTGGTATTCCAAATAATTAATGTACCTTTTCAGCACCTATTAGAGAGTCTATGGAGACAAGTCCAAGTTGGAGTTCAACAGACTCTCCCACAAAACCAGCGAGGGTCCTAAGCAACAAGACTTCCGGTGAGAAATTTGCCGAACTCGAAGTTAAATTTGAAATTTTCAGTAATCAAAGTAAAAACAGCAGTGTACCACACATTAAAATAAAATTGAATTATTGATTACTAAATTAGTAGTCATCCTTCCCAATTGTTTAATGACTCCATCTTAATATTGTAGGTATGACACGAACAACAATATACCAAGTAAGAACAGAGACCACCACGGAAGCAACAGAGGCCACCACGAAAGCAACAGAGACCACCACGAAAGCAACAGAGACCACCATGAAAGCAACATGGCTGGCGCTCAGCAAGACTCTTGGTAAGAAAATTTGTTATAAGTTAAACATCCTTCTAGTAGAAAAAAAAAAGATAAAGCTCACTATGAAACTTTTGTTACTTTTGTAGATTGCTTCTAACCTCATTTACCCTTTGAAATTTTCTGTAAAATTAAAATTAAAGAGTAGCACTGTATATATTAGTTAATTATATTCTTTGAATTTTTTTTTAATGAAAAATGGTAAAATTTAGTTGTTAATTACCAGTAATTTTTTGTTACATCAAAAAATTAAATGTAAAAGTTTTTACTTATGGATATCCACAACACCTGAATTGTTGCAACTAATTTTTGTGTACTGAAACTTTTTTTGGTAGATGTTAGTGTAGATGGGACATCAATGACAGTGAATCCCAAACAGCAGACATCAATGACAGCGAATCCCAAACAGCAGACATCTATGACAGTGAATGCCAAACTGCAGAGTGACACAGAGGGGGAGGAAAAAGATGCATATTATGGTAAATTTGGTTTGTATATGAATATCATCATGTTGACATGTGTATTAAATTTTATGTTTCTACTGTTATTTAATGTTAAAAAAATGAGGAAAATATGTCCGAGGTGTAAAATGATTAGTAATAACAAACAAACAAGTGTTCTTGGTAAACATTTATTCAGAAAGAATCAAATTGTTAAGAAAAAAAATAGTTTGCCATCAAAGTATGAGCTGGCACATGTTGGACATTATTCTGAATCGGATGATGATTATGATGACATAGAATTTGATATTCATTATGTGTCTGATAACTGAAGAGCAGTATACAAAATTCTTGGTAGTTCTCATGATCAGGTAAAAAAAAAAAAATATATGTTTCCAAGGACCTCAGATTTTAATTTAATAAAAATGTGTACATATTTTTATAAGTTTTGCTATTCTCGAAAGATAATTGTTTTCTTTCATAAAGGATGTTCAATCTAATTAAAAAATTTTATTAGGATTCCTAGCTTGGGGAATCACAGCTACAGTCTTCTTGAAGCTGTCGATTATCATCATCATCAAGATGAGAATTCATTATACCACCAATCCTCAATCGCAAGATGAACCAATAGAATCCAACATCCCTAACCAAGTCCAATCACCACCTCAGCCAACTGCACCACCCCAGCCAACAACACCACCCCAGCCAAAGATTGTCACACCTGAAACAGCAAGTGGTGAACATTTCCACACGCCTCAATCGTTGAAACCCCTAATTAGACCGTCTCCTGTCAGTGCCCACACAAGGTCTAAAATGCAAAAAAAAAAGTTAGTGTTTGAGTCAAAGGTTTAAGCTATAAGAGTTAGAGTCAAAGGTTTAGGCCATTAGAGTGAAAAGAAACCACATGAGATATGCATGATGACACTGTAGTAACAAGACATTGATGTCTTGAATTTATAGTTTGTATGATATGTATGTTTTTTTCCCTTACTTTTCTGTGTTTCATTTGTGGACGAGAGGAAAAAATGATAATTTTTTTCCAAAATGTTAGAATTGTTTTTTGATTTATGATACTGATTCTTTTTTCAAGAAAGGAAAAGGAACAATAGATAGAATTTTACACATATGATTTTTTTTTATTAGTTTTATGATAAAAACTGAAATAACATTTTAATCTATGTATTAGAATTAACACTTCATGTTTTATTATGTGTAATTTTACACTGATTTTATACAACCTGTGCAAGGTTACGAGAGAGAGATTTTTGAAAATTATTCTATGTTTGGTTGATTGGAAGGTGGATTTTTTCTTTGCAGACAGGAAGGGAGATAATGTAAATTCCTACTTTAGAAATACAATTTAGAATAGTTGATTGCAGGTTGTGTGATTTGTATTCTCTTTTATGAATTATATTAGGTATTTTGGAAAAAAAAAAATCAGAATTTTCCATATACACACCCTTTTTTGTTTATGTGATGGAGTTTTTTGCACATGGGTAGTGCAATTTATTATTATTTTTGTCATGACTTATATTGAAAACATCACATTTATTATACTGATTCCTTTTTTTCTTGAGAAGAAAGGAACCAGAATTTTACACGAGTGAATTCCTCAGGAGTTTTAATATGTTTACTGTTAATTTTTTGTATCAAAATTAACACTTCACATTGCATAATGTGTAACTTTACACGGATTTTGTGTATAACTTGTGCTATTTTATGAGAGATGTTTTTTTGATTATACAGTTGATTTTTAGCGTGCAGTTTACATGTTTGCAATTGAATATACCAATCATGTTGTTTATGAATTTAAATAAAAGTTTTTTTGAAGTTAAAAAAAAGGTTTTGTTTTTTTCTTTAGATGAGTTGCGGTGTAACAATATAAAAAAAATATAATACATTATTGAATTTCAGGTTATATTTTGAAAAGTATATTTTAAAGAATTTCATAAACAGTCTGAAATTTTTAATTTAGAACATGTCAGACGGTAGTCTCCTCAAAGAAATCTTGGACTCCTTGGTGGATTCAGATGCCGTGCAGTTATTTGCAACAGCGAATGGTTTAGTTGGTGATGTCGAGGTCGAGAACCGATTAAGAGAACTCCAGCATGAAAAGGAACTTAAGTGGGAAAAGCACATAGACGACTTATGGCAGGAGGTTCTCTCTGATATGGAGTCTCCTCCTAAAAAAACGTGTCATTCTTGCAATGATGGCAATCAACCTTCTACAAGTAGACAGGTGGGGGGGGGGGGGGGCGGTGGGGAAAGTTCTGATTCTAAGGACACATTAGCAAAACCTTACTATATCTGGAAGAGAGATACCAGGACCTTCAAGAAAAATCTGGCCCGCGACACCACATTCAAGGTCAAATTCAATGAACAGTGGAGGGGGGATAAATTAATAGATATCCAAAACAAATTACATGAGATGTTCGACGACCTGTTGTCGCAGGCCAGGGGTCACGATGCAGATCTGGGAAGGGTGGTCCTGAGTCATCCGAGTTTAAACAATCCTATCGTCGTGCCGCTGCAGTCCTGGGAAAAATTGAATGCAGATGTCGTCATGTCTGAGATCACCAAGGTACTCAATTCGAACGAAAGCTTACCCGTAGATGAAAACCTGCTAGTCACCATCGGGTCCATTGACTTACCTAAAGGGGGAGGTAACCCTAGAAAATTACCCATTACAACTCTTTTCGGTCCTAAAAATAGTATAGAAAGGAAAAAATCACTTTTTCACGTTCAAAATAATGACAATTTATGTATGGCCATTTCCATCGGTCTGTGTTTTCTAAAAACGTGTAAGAAAGTAGATACGGAAACATGGAATAATTTAGTGAGGAATGATCCTGGAACGATGCTAGATCACGCCCTCAA